CAGGTCTGGTGTCACACATAAAAAGATAAAGACTCTTTCCAGAAAACAGGAACTGAAATAATGCTTTTATAATACAAAAGGGTAGATTGTGCTTTTTCTAATATTAAGGAAAGTAGCCTAATTAGTTATCAAGGATAGTGGTGATTTTTCCTTCACAAGATGTGCTCAAGCAAAGGAAAGGAACACTGAGCGCAGAATGGACTAGATGAACTAAGTAACCCCTTCAGCTCTCTTTTTGCATCATGTTTTGAGAAGAGAAAAAAATGTGGAAACTGAGGGATAATAATGTAATTGTTTAATCATTTAACTAGATTAGTTAATATAATGTGAACTAAATTTATATTTTAATTTTTAAATTTATGTTTCAAAGCGACTGCCTGTAAAGGCCCCTGGATTGGGGCTGAAAGGCGAAAACGGAAAGCTCCATCCGTCCGTCCGTCCCATAATTGGCTAGACCAGGTTGCCCTGATAGACCCGTCCCACCAGAGAAAAAAATATTTAATGTGAACTAAACTGTCTGTGCCCCATCCCAAGCCGGGAAGGAAATCTTTCATGCTAACTAATCATACTGCCAATTACAGGTAGTTCTTGTTTAGTTAGCATAATTGGGGCCAGCAACTCAGCCATTAAGTGAAATGGTCACTAAGTAAACATTTGATTGTGCTTATGATCTTATTTTGGCTTGGCTTGGCTTCATCACTGTCATAACTGTGAAGGTTGTTGTACAGGGCAGTTGCTAAAGGAGGACTACTTGTAACTTAAAATCAGCTGACAGTTTCTGACTAGTCCAGGCTAAATGTATTAAAGGCTTTTAAATGTATCAAATGTAATATAGCAGGCATCCATTGGTGCTGGACAGCCAATAAATTTAAATAAATAATCTTTTTACTTTTTACTGAAGGATAAGGGATAAGGTCAGAAGCTCAAATTCTTTGGCCTGATGAGTTAAGATAAGTTGTACTATCTCATACCCTAAGTTTCAAAACGTTTATAGGGTTCTAAAAAGTTATGATAGAAATACCATGAAGGCATAGGCATGAAGAAAGCTCTTTTAAAAGAAAATTGGGGAAGGTCTCTGGGCAGCTAAAGAATGCCATGAATGATTGTTTTCTGGTGGTAGTTTCAAGTGATACCACAAATGGCCCATAAACATCCCTTGAACAAATTATTCTGTTCATTTAAAGTTGATAGCACAGATGGAGAGTATATGGAGAATATACTAGAGCTTGAGTTTTTTTGTTCCTATTGCTCAGACTTCTTTCCATCCAAGCCTCATGCATTTTGGTTATATGTATTCAGGTAATTACTGTAAACATAGCCAGGATATCTTACAATAATAAGTGAAACAGATCAGCTGCAACTGCCAAAAACGTCAATGCAGTCTTAGGCTATGTCAACAGAGGGAAAGAATAAAAATCATGTGAAGGGTTAGTACTGCTTTATATTGTTGTGGTAAAACCACCCTTGGAATATGACCTATTGGTCACATGATGCAAAAAAGATGTTGAGTCTTTAGAAAGAATGCAGTGAAGAGCATCAAAGATTATTAGGGAACTGGAGATTAAAGCATATGATGAATGATTGTGGGAACTGAGTATGTCTAATCTAATGAAGAAAAGGTCTAGGGTTGACATGATAGCAGTCTTCCAATATTTGAGGGGCTGTCACAAAGAAGAGAGGGTTGACCTATACTCCGAAGCACCTAAGGGCAGGACAAGAAGCTTATCAAAGAGAGATCCAATCTAGATTTAAGGCGAAATTTCCTGTCAGTGAGAACAATTAATCAGTGGGATGGCTTGCCTTCAGGAATTGTGGGTGCTCCATCACTGCAGGTTTCTAAGGAGTGATCAGACAGCCATTTATCCCAAATGGTATAGGGTCTCCTGCTTAAGCAGAGGGTTGGACTAGAAGACCACCCAGGTCCCTTTCAAGTCTGGTATTCTGTATATCATGTTGTTGTTTTTATTTAGTATTTGCTACACTTGTTTTAGTGCACAAAATGTGTATTGAAATAATTTTTAATACTCTCTCTTTCTTCATCCTAAAGCAGAAATGGTTTGAACATTTGGAAGTCATTAATGAGTTTTTATGCTCAGTGCAATGAGTATTCATCCAAACCAGTTCCATCATAGTTTATGCATATTGTTACTGTAAATCACTTTCTCCAACCTGCTAAACTTGGAATAGCCATGCTGGCTAAGAATGATGGGAGCTGTAATCCAACTCATTGTAAAGGAGAATAGGTTGGGGAGTCTGCCATAAATCATTGTTTCCTAAAAATTAAATAAAGGTGGGAAGTGAGTATGTTTAGATTTATAAATTATAACTTGGTAATCATATGATTTGCATGACCATGGAAAATGGCATATTTGGTAAATCTTGGCAACTAAGCTCAATTTTTACTGCTAAAATAAGAATATTAATTTCAAAATGAAACACTGAAATGCAAATTATTTTTATTTTAAAATGTAGTTTTAAAACATGTTGTTTTAAAACTCTACAACTTTTGTCAATGTTGTAAAAAACATCCATTCCACATTTAGTGTTGTACAGCAATTAACTGCATAAAGAAACTCGGGTTCAACTCAAGCCTCGGCCATGGATGCTTATTGTGTGAGTTTAGGATAGTCACTATCTCACAGGCTTGTTGCTATGAATACAAAATTGCATCAGAGAGCCTTCTGCACATCCCCCTGTGTTCTTGGGAAAAGATTATTTTGATCAGCAGGAAGTTTCTGAAGATGTTCCCATTATCAGAAGTTTGATGTTCAGGTCTGTAGGAAACAACCTTCTCCTTTTGACTCCCAGGCTGTGGAACTCACTAAGCAGTTTGCTTCTTCCCTTCTTCCAGGATTTAGAAAGTTGATAAAAGCACATCACTCATTGATTTTAATGTTGGTATTATTTTCAATTGCATTAATATTGTTGTACTCTATTTTTTTAATTACGGTATAAGATGCAGTCAGTGTTGAATGAATCAGAACAATGGGCTACAAATTCAATTCAACATCATCATTCAAATCCAAATTAACTTAATAGGGATATGCATGGAGAGGAGCCATGTTGGTGCAGTGGTTAGAATACAGGCAAATGCATTAACTCACTGCTGGCTACCAGGAGTTCGATCCTGACCGGCTGAAGGTTGACTCAGCCTTCCATCCTTCTGAGATTGGTAAAATGAGGACCCAGATTGTTGGGGCAATATGCTGACCCAAAGTGCAAACCACTTAGAGAGGGCTGTAAACACTATAAAGCTGCATATAACTCTAAGTGCTGTTGCTATTGTTATGCAAGTTAATATTCTACAGTTATTTGGGAATGGAAGGCACTAGGAATGGAAGGCACTATAGATGGTCAGCTGATATTTCCAATAAGGAAATTCTATACTGGAGTTCCATTTGCTTGGTTTAATTTGGTAGAGGGACATCCAGTTTTCCAAAAATTAATCATAACATGCCCCTTTTCACTGGCCTCCAATTGGAGCACCAAGGATGCCTTCACTTTTTTTCATAGTCATTGGCAAAGGAAAAGAGGTTCATGTTCAGTTTGCCAAAATACTGAGCATTTCTCCAGGTTAATTTTTTTGTACTATTATAATGTATCTAACATTGACATAGCAGAGCCCACCTCAAAGGTTTGCCTTGTACAGTATACTTTTATATCATTATTGTCACCATTCTTTCCTCTCCTATAGTTCCTATAGCATTTTATGGTCAACTGGACAGCCTGCAATCAGAACAAATACCATCAATCAGTTTTTGGCCCTGCAGAATTATTTCTTGCACAAGGCCAGCATCCTGGAATTATGTCAGAATCTCATCTTGTGCCAATCATTGACAGAAGGTGATCCATTTTTAAAAAAACAGCAATTCTTGAAATGTTTGGCAATTCCCATTCCAACTCAGTTAAAATAAAGGAAAGCTTCACAACAAGACAATAATCTTTAATCAGGCTGTTTATATAGGCAGACTTCGGAACTTGCTTGTTTACTCTCATGCTGGGCAAAAACATTATTTTTGGTTTTTTTTAATTTTGCTCATATCAATCTTGTCTGGAATCTAATTTGTCTAGATAAGGGTTTTCCTATCTGTGATCGCTGAATTATAAAGAAGGGAAATAACTTTTGGGTGTTATTTCTGGGTGGATTACTTTATATTAAGAGTAAAGTAGTCTTTATACAAATTGGGCCTTGTTGAGTGCACCATTGAAAGAGTTCAAAGACGAGATTAGGGACAGTTCATCATGAAGAAAATATATCTCTGGTTGTTAAGAGTCAACAACAATTTGATGGCACACAATCAGACAATCAATCAGGAAAATTTGCCAATGTTGGCTACTAACAAGTTTGAGAGTTAGTTTTTTGTAAAAAAAAAAAAAAAAAAAAAAACCAGAACAGAACTGTAAATATGGAATATGAAACCATAATATCTGAATGTGGTATAATAAGCTTCTGTATCATCACAAAATATTCACCAGAAGTACAAGCTGACCTAGGGGAGGTCCTGTTAGAAAAGGACAATGAAGCTTATAGCATTATTACTCAAAGCAATCTTTTTTTTTTTTTACTTTTTGTGCTATTAATTGAATATCCTTAATAATTTTGCCTAAAACCTAGAGAACTCTGAAGAAAAATTGTGACTCACATGATGGTGTTAATTGTGCTATTTTGTTTTGGCTGTCTTCCATATATTTGTTTGGCTTTTTCTACCAAGTTTCTCACAAGGGTTGAATGTGGCAAGCATGCAGAGTAACTCTTCAATTTACATTCTCAAAAGTTGGTTTTGCATCACCGCAATCCATTTCTGTCTTCATTGTTGGCAGTGTCTGCTTTGATGGCATTTAGCTTGCCGCTTGAAATAACTGGCTGTTTTTAATCAGGACTGTTTAAATTGTTGTCAGTCTGAATATTTTCTTTTCTTTTTTTTAATTCAAATTTGCCTGATTGACATTTTTTTGCTTTTTTGTTTTGTTTTGTTTTGTCTTTCTCTTGGCTGCTCCAGGAGCCATGGCTAACCATCTTATAACCAATGCTCTCCTTCGTCCTCATGGCACTAACAACCCTTATAACACATTGCTCGGGGAATCGGCCGTCTATAACAACCCTTCTGTCAGCATGTACAACACACCAGGTGTAGTGGAGTTTCTCTCATTTTTTTAGTGAGAGTCCCATGATGTGCTTTTATAGACACAATTTTTCTTTATTTCTGTTTTCTTTTCTTTATTTCTAATTGAGCACAAATATTTCCCCATGCATTTCACAAACTCCTTCCATTTTTTCCAGGCTTTTTGGCAAAATGCCCAAATTAATTTTGGAAAATATTTTTTCATCCTATTAATCAGATTATATATATATATATATATATATATATATATATATATATATATATATTCATTTTTATTTGCTCTTCCGTTCTATCCATTTAATCTTTTGTATATTTATTTGTCAATCATTCATTTGAGAAACAGGAACGCTGCCAAGGTAAGTGATGCTTACCATTTATTTTCAAATTTTAAAGCATAATTAGAGGAGGACAGAGTATAAGTTAGATATGTCTCCCTCAAAAAATGGTAATAAATTGAAGTTGACTGTCTTTACATTCCACTGAAATTAATACAGCTGAATATTAGCAAATTGTCCACTAGTTTCATTTTAAAAACCACAATTGATTAGTATACCATTCCGTGTGACCCGGATTGAATTAGTTGACCTCATTATCCTGCAGATTAATGCATAGATATTATTAATTACAACTAAGATTGTTTTATACCTTGCAATAGTTGCCTGAAATATAGTTCACAGCAGTCACCCCAAGATCCTGAAATAATGATTTCTCTTTCACCCAGATATATTTTATGTTTTGAAATTTAAATTTAAATTTTGAATTTAATTGCATCTAAAAGCAACTATTCAGTCTATAACATTACTCATATGCTATATTTTATTGTCAAAAATTGACTCAAATCCAAAAAGAATGGATAATTGTGTTGTATAACACCATAAGAAATTATTGAAAGTTTTTCCTTGCAAATATTATGTGATTGTTACAAGATACTACAACTCCTTAATTTTTACACCAGATAAATCGGAACTAAATTTCCCCCATAAAATTTTACATATGTCTGCTAAGAAGTCCCACTAAATTTTAAAAGACAGTGCATTCCCAAATGAGCATATACAGAACTGCAACGTTACAGTACAAATGTATTCATCTGTATAATATCTTCATTCTAATTTGGACCTTATTATATTAAAGTTATAATACATATTTTCAGCTGGAGATTTAATTGTAAAAAAAAGGGAACATGGTCCCTGCCCGCAAACTGAATGGCAGAATTATTCATTTAATCATGTGTTAGCTTTGCAAGCTTTTTACACAAAGTTACTTTTGTTTCACATGAATTTATATGTAATTTCAGAAAACACTGTTTGGCTGAATGTGATCTCGGGGCTTATCTTGCTAATATTTAAATCTGAGTTTCTTGGTAAATGCTCTCCTGATATACAGGTGTTTCATTCCATCTAAAGATTGCAATAAATCACCAATATGTTAAAGTTCCCATATTAAATCGATAGTAGATTGTGAAATCTTGAAGTTTTTCTCTGGATTCATTCTGCTCTTCAGATTGGTTTTCAGGATCAGTTTGTATCCATTTTACAGTTAATCCTCAATTTACAACCATTCATTTAGCGATCATTCAAAGTTACAATGGCATTGTCCAAATTGACTTGCAACCAGTCCCTGTAATTATGACCATCACAGCATCCCCATGGGTCACATGATCAAAATACGGGCAATTGGCAGCCAGCATGTATTTGCAATGGTTGAAGCATCTCAGAGTCATATCATTGCCATTTGTGACTTTCCCAGTCAGCTCCGACAAACAGGAACAATAGGGGAAGTTGGATATTTCCAACCTTGGCAACTTTAAGCCTGAATGACTTCAACTCCCAGAATTCAACTGGCTGGGGAATTCTGGGAGTTGAAGTCCTCCAGGCTTAAAGTTGCCAAGGTTGGAGACGCCTGGTTTAAATGACATGATTCATTTAACAATTGCAGTGATTCAGTTAACTGTGGAAAATAAAGGTCATGAAATCAGCCATGACTCACTTGACAATTGCCTTGTTTAGCAGTGGAAATTCCAGCCCCAATCTTGATCATAAATCGAGGACTATCTGTACTCCAATAAAGTCCTCTACAACTGATTCTGAAGTTACACAAAATTCTGATCCCAATATATTTCTATGCAGACAAAGTGTCACAGTTTTGCGTGGGCACACATACACAAAATATTTGTATCATTTATGTAAAATTACATGATGTGGAAGAGAGGGAGGGAGAATATTGAATTCGGCAGTTCACTGATTTGCCCTCGAATCTGAGTTATAATCATGACTGTTGATTAGCCCTATCACAGTTCCCTAAAAAGCAGAGAAACTGTGGTGGTAGAGAGAAATCCCTAGGACAATAATTAAAATTATTTATCCTGATTAATTGTAACAGTTTTTATGCTAGCTGCATTAGCAAGCTGGCCTTCCCTAATGATCAACATTCTAGAAAAGACCAGCAAGTTCATATGTTATACTTGCACCTCGTCTCCAACAACCAACTGCACTTCATTTAGGAAAAAACCATTATTCCTTGCTAAAGATTTAAACCTGGTTTGAAAACCATGCATAATCTGTACCATACCTGGCATATTTCCTCCTTGCATAATGATCCAACTTGCCTGTAGTTTACATCCTGTTTTATTAACTGATTAAAAACTACAACCATTTCTACTTTTTTCCCATAATAGACTTTGGAGAAATGGAACTCCATTTATCTGAAGCTTGATCTGAATGAAAACACATAACCAAATTGAGCTACTTCCAAATAACCCAGATCAAATTACCATAGAAACTCATTGAATGGCTTTAAGTGTGAAAATTCTAGCAGAATTCTTAAGTAGTCTGTTTTCAGTAGACCTTACTTGTATTCCCTATTTTTAGAAGTAAATAATAATCTGACCCCTCAATAACAAGTATGGTCAGTTATCCATCTATATCTGTCTATCTATCTGTCTAGCTAAAAGGTTTATATGGGCACTCATCACAATATAATCCTGGGCTGCTAACAAAAAAATCAAACTCATATAATATAGTAAGAATAACACCCCCCCCAAGTTAAAAAACATCATACTCTAACTAGGCATCGTAATAACCTCACATTAACTATACGTGGTGAGCTCAACTCACATCATGGCCCAGGGCCTGAAGACCATGCAACATCTTTAGAATTGAGGCCTCAGTGGCAGGGGTGGGTTCTACTTACCTTTACTACTGGTTTGCATTGCGCGCGCATATCACCTATGATGACATCCAGGTCAGTGGGCGGAGCCTCTCGCCGGTTTTACTACCGGTTCTTGCGAACAGGTCCGAACCGGGGGCAACCCCAGCTCAGTGGGGAGAATTGGATGGGCACTGCTACAAAGTGGGTCCCAACAGATAACAGATAACATCATTTGATAGATGGGACCTTCTGGTGGGCCAGATGAATGCCTTCAGATGAGGGGTGAAATGCTACTGGTTCGGACCAGTTCGGCCAAACCGGTAGCAGCAGCGGCGGCGCATGGTTCAGAGAACCAGTAGCGGTGGCACATGGTTCGGAGAACCAGTAGCGGCAGTGGTGCATGGTTCGGAGAACTGGTAGCGGCGGCAGCGTGAGGCTCTGTCCACCCGCCCAGACATAGTTACTCCCTGGTTTTAACCAGGAAGTAACGCATGCACACACACGCAGAGCGCACACTTCTGAACCAGTAGGGAAGGTAAGTAGATTTCACCCCTGCTTCAGATCAAATCCCAAGGGTAGGGGAGGGAGCTGTTGCAAATGAATTTTCCAGACAATCACTAGCATATATGAATAAGGAACTTAGACTAGAAATCTACCGTAGTCTGTTTTCTTGCCTCTAATTAAAAACTGCAGGCTACCTAGATACACAGCAAAATAAATTCCATGTTGCATATAAACACATAGCCAGAGAAGTAAAGCTTAATGTAGAAAATCTCAAAATTTGGTATATTTAGTACATAGCCTTACTATCACAGGAAATAAAATAATAATAATAAAACGATACAGGCGATCCTTTTTAATGATCACAATTGAGGCAGGCAACTTGGTTGTTAAGTAAAGTGTTGCTAAGTGAAACCCCAATTGTGCTTATTGTCTTATTTGAACTTTTCTTTGCTTAACATACCTGTGAAGGTTATAAATGTGAGGATTAGTTGCAAAGTTACTTTTCCATCAACAGCATAACTATGAACAGTCGCTAAACAAGGATTATCTGTATGATTTATATGTGGGAGGTGAACTCTTGTCTGCAACTCCTACTCCCAAAAGGCATGAAATGAAATCCTTTTTTTTTTTCTGCCAGACATAACCTAGGTAGTGGGCTGACACAAAGCCTGGGAAAATCAAACACCAAAGAGCCAATCAGGAGTAAGAAGCGCTTTTAAGAAAAGAAAGGGGCAGCTCCATTTTTTCTCTTTTGCTTTTTTTTCTCACAGGAGGAGCTAAAATATCTCCACCGATGCTGGCTCCTGATAAATCAGTGCCCCCAGCCTTTAGAATCTGAGTTTGAAGATCCTGGGAAAAATATTTCCATTTAGGGAATAATGATGTTGGATTCTGATTAGAGTTTTGGATTTCATTTAGTGAAAAATCATTTGTACTATGTACTGGTTATATTTTGCTTTACTTATTCTGCCTTCATTCTATCTGTATATTCCTGACTGGTGAGTAAACTCTGCAGAAGGCATTGTCTTTTGTTATTGTTTTATTTTCTACTTTTGTCTTCAAATCTTGACTAATTATTTATTTGCCTAATAAAAAATTAAATTCTAAATGAGCTGCTAAGTCTTATTCTGACAAGGAATTTAGCCCATAGCACATGCCAGCTGCCTGACTTAACTAGTGAGAATAAAGCAGGTTTGGCACTTGCTTGAGTAAACGAGTGCAATGAGAGATTTTTTTACTGGAGTAAAGTGGATGGTAACAGATTTACCCTGTAGACTCTCTTTCCTGAGAGTTGTGAAGTGTGCAAGAGGGTTGAAAGTGGAGGATCAAGAGTTCTTCCTGCATCAAGCCTACTT